GTATCTCTTATATGCTTAAAAGATAGGGGTATAGAACAAAGCAGTAACACGGCTTGATCCTCATCTTTAATTTCAGCATCTATATTACTCAAATCCATAAGAATGGAATCAAAGATGTCAAGATGAGAGAGAATAGAGGTACCTTCACCCATACGAATTGTATAAAGTTTCTACTTTAGGTAAAGTTTATTTTCCACCGTCCTCTTCAAATATAAGGTTTTTAATTTTTTCCACATGCCTTTGGCTGTGGTTTCTACAGAAACTTCGCGTAAAACCTCATTTGAGAGATTTAAAATCATACATGCTTTTGCCCTTTTGTCTATGACGGCAAACTTCTCATCCGTCATTTTATCCGACTTCTTCTCCTTTCCTTGCAATGCCAAGTCTAAACCATCCTGAATTAGGATAGTTTCCATATTTAATTGCCACATTTTGAAGTTTGCACTTCGGTCAAATTTCTCAACATAGGTTTTTGTTAGAGTCATTTTGGCTATTGAAACTAACCCGGTTAGATCCAGCTCTGATACCAATTTGTTAGGATCGGGAACTCAGGTAGTACGGAATTTAGCCAAATAACGATATAATGACAATAATAAAGATAATGGATGTTGATAACAATGGCAATTAAAGCAGATAAAGAAGACACCAATTTAATGTGGTTCAGTCAATGTGACCTACGTCCACAGAGGAGCAATTTCACTATAACAATAAGAGTACAAAAGAGAGTATAAAATTAGAGTAAACACTCTAATTAATCCCAAATACCCTAAGAGAATAACCTCACAAGATCACTCCAAAGAAAGGGTTCACACAAGTGCTTTCCAACACTAACTCTCATACAAAACACTCTTAATAAAAGAGGAAAGGAAGAAACAAGAAATGAAGACTCAAGTCTTGTTGGTGTGTCTAAAATGAACTAATTGCCTTCCCTTTTATAGGCAAAAAAGTCTTGGCCTCTTAGGTGTAAAAGAAGAGATACAACTTATGCAAATGATGTCCACCACATAATGCAATATTTTTGGGTCCCAAAGAATATTGCCAACAAAGTCTACACTTTGCAAAGATGCTTATGCTTATGTGAGATGGACTCCATTAGCCAAAATATTGGCCATAGTTACATGGAATGTGAAGATGACTAAATTAAGCGTCATTCTTCATGTAATTAGATGAATATTCTAGTGGTAGATTTCGGTTTATTTGATAGCTATAGCATTAAGTACTGAAAGTGATTTTTTAGTTAAGCAATTACGTGTTTGGTAAAAATAGTTAAAGTAAACATCTAATATGCCTGGTAAAAAAGTACCGATTAAAATGACTGTTGAAATGCTTTAGATATATTCACAAAAAATAAAATTTAAAAGTATCTTTAAATGGAAAAGGATAAATGACAAAAATTGAACGGGGGAGGAAATGATTTGTTTTGGGAAAAGTATTTTGGAGAATACAACAAATATTAGGAATAAAATAGTAAAATTTATGATTAAACCAAAAGTATGTATGGTGACGACTTTTAGTTGACTTACACTTATAAGTATTTTTTATGTTTATCAAATATACAAATAAATAAAAATGTGTTTTTAAACTGATGACTAGCTTATAGACTTACTCACACACCCTCTTAGTTTTCTTTATACTTGCTCTTTCACAGTTTTACTTAGAATTGAACTCAATTTAAATATAAGAAAAATTTATTGAGTTCCTAACATGTAGGCGAGGCAAGTTTAGAGCAAAGTTGCTAAAATTTGCTCTCACACTGAGCAGATTTGCAGTAGCTCTGTACTGCTCTAATGGCAGAAGTTTCTAGAGTACAGAGATGAAGAAGAAGCAGGCATTGCAAAATGATTCTCTGTATTCATTCTCTGAAGATACATGGTATTTATACAAGTAATGAGCCTAACTAACATTAACATATGAGCTGGACGTGAGCTGGCCGACTAACTGACTAGTTGGCATACTAACTACCATAACTACCACTAACTAACTTGAGCTCACAAGACTCCCCCTCAAGCTGAAGGGTGCAATATATTCAGCACACAAAGCTTGCTGAGAAGATGAACATGCGAAGCTTGAGAGAGACTCTTGGTGAGTAAATCAGCTTGTTGGTCCTTGGAATGGACATAGATAGTCTGGACCACCCCCGCCTTGATCTTATCACGAATGAAATAATAATCGATCTCAATATGCTTTGTTCGTTTGTGAAAAATAGGATTAGCAGCTAATTGTATAACAGATTTGCTGTCACATTGCACTAGAAGAAGAAGCTTGATGGGAATTTCCAGCTCTTGAAATAGGCCAAGCAACCATGTGACTTCGGCTACAGCTGAAGCCATGCTGCGATATTCAGCTTCAGCTGAACTTCTGGACATTGTTTGTTGCTTCTTTGACTTCCATGAAATGAGAGATTCACCAAAGTTTACCACATAGCATGTTACTAATCTCCTAGTATTGGGGTAAGCTGCCCAGTCAGAATCACACCAACATTGTAACTCTGATGCAGGACCAGACCTCAACCAAATACCTTAGCCTGGAGCATTTTTCAAATATCTGACCACCCTAAGATCAATCTCCCGGTAGGACTTCTTAGGGTGTTGCATGAACTGGATCAAGGTGTGAATAACATAGCTAATATCAGGTCTTGTTGTAGTCACATACATCAAACGACCAATCAATATCTGATATGCACTAACATCTTTTAAAGGTGAGTCACATGTAGAACCTGTTGCCTGATCATATACAATGGAAGTTAACTTGATATTGGTCTCCAAAGGGGTGATTGCTGGCTTGGCACCACTGAGTCCCATTTCAGAAATGAGTTCTGGGATATACTTCCTTTGATTCAAAACTACCCCAATTGCTGACCTTAAGATAATGCCCAAGAAGTACTTGAGCTCATCTAAGTCCTTTAGCTTGAACTGCTGATGAAGTATCTCCTTTGCCTCAGTAATCAGCTGATCATTGCTGCCAGTGATGAAAAAATCATCCACATACACCAGGATGATCACCATGCCTTCTGGCTTTCTTTAATGTAAATAAGGAGTAGTCATGATTACTTTGTATGAAACCTGCTGCTGTTAGTGCATCAGACAACTTAATGTTCCATTGTCTTGATGTCTGCTTGAGTCCATACAAGGACTTGAGCAATTTGCAGACCTTCAACTCCCTCTGCCTCCTAAAACCTTCAGGATATCCATGTAAACCTCTTCATAAAGATCACCTTACAAAAAGACATTGTAGACATTCATCTGGTATAAATTCGAACCTCTAGAAACAGCCAAGGCTATGACTGACCTTATTGTTACCATCTTCACCACATGAGAGAAAGTATCGTGATAATCTAGACCCTCTTTTTAGCTATAATCTTTTGCAACTAGTCGAGCCTTGAACCTTTCAATGTCCCAATTTTCTTGGTACTTGATCTTGTAGACCCATTTGAATCCTACAGTGTGTTTCCCTGATGATAAGTCTACAACTTCCAAGTTTTATTATCTTCTAAAGCCTTGATTTCTTGTCTCATTGCTTCAATCCATCTAGCATTTTTGGCCGCTTGTTTGAAAGATCTGGGCTTAACCAATGTAGAAAACTTGGCCAAGTAGCTTTGATACTTTGGTGTGACTTTTTATAGGATATGTAGTTGGTGATGGGATACTTACTGGTTCACTTCTGTGTTGTGACATAGTCTCTTAGCCAAATAGGTTGTGTGGAGGTCCTGTAGGATTTTCTCAGTGGAATATGTGCAGCATCAGTGGTCATGTCTTGATTAGGAGCATGAGGTTCATCTTCCTGTATAACTGGAGTGATACTTTCTGATGGTGAGCTTTCTTGCAACTCATTGTCTCCCTCTATATTGTCTTCAACTGTATTATCAGCTGTAAGTACAACTAAAACCTTGATCCATATCTGAACCTTGACCTAAGTGTTGTGAGTTGGCTACAACTCCTGTAGATGGCACTCCAACATCAAATATGCCAGAATCCAAGTTGTCAACATGAGGGTTGTGGCTGATGGAAATCTCCTGTTATTTTGCAAAAGGGAACACAGACTCCTTGAATACCATATTCCTACTCACAAATATTTGATTGGTAGCAAGTTCTAATAAGATGTAATCCTTCTGTCTCTTTGAATACCCCATCAAGACTGATGCCTTTGCTTTTGCATCAAACTTATCTCTTTTGGGAACAACTGAAGCAAAACACAAGCACCCTATCACTCTCAGGTGAGTTAAGGATGGAGGCCTTGCATATAGCATCTCATAAGGACTTTTTCCTTCAATAGCTGATGAGGGCAACTTGTTCATCAGGTATACTGCAGTAGTTACTCAGATTCCCCAATATATAATTGGTATTTTTATTGAAATCTCAGTGCCCTTGCTACATCTAAGATGTGCCTGTGTTTTCTCTTGTGGAGTGTGAACACAGCTGCTTTGGTGCAATATTTCAAAACCTTGTAACAGATCATTGCACTGTGAGTTGAATAACTCTGTGCCATTGTCTGATCTCAACACTTTTACCATCACTCCAAACTGGTTTCTTACCATCAACATGAAGTTTTTAATTGAAACAATTGTTTCAGATTTGAGTTGCAGTAAATTAATCCAAGTAAATCTACTAAAGTCATCCACAATAGTAAGGAAATAATACTTCTTGTCATAGGTAGGTGTTTTATAAGGCCCCCATAAATCCATGTGAATAAGATCAAAAAGAGATACTGCCCTAGAAGCACTAATAGGAAACAACAATCTAGTTTGTTTAGCTAAGGGACACACATGACACTTATTCAGAAGATCATTATTTATAGTGCTTCCTAACCAATCCATACTTTTCATAGCAGAAGATGAAGGGTGGCCAAACCTTTGATGCCATAATCTGCAGTCCTCATTCATTGTGATTGTTGCTGCTACATTACAATCTCTATTGCTATTATTACTGCTATCTTTGACAATGTACAAACCACCTGTCTCCTTACCAATACCCTTTACCCTGCCACTGTAAAGATCCTGGAAGAAGACAAAGTCAAGGAAAAAATTCATTGAACACTCCAGTTCTCTTGTAAGTTTGGATACTGACAGAAGGTTAAATTTGAAATCTGGTACATATAGGACACCTTTTATAACCTCAATACCAAATAAAGATGCATGACCTGTATGAGAAATAGGAATCTTATCTCCAGTAGGCAAATGTACTGTGTCCTTAGATCCTTTCCTAGTGTTATCATTTGTTAATAAATCCATAGATGCAGCTATGTGATGTGTGGCACCTGAGTCTACAATTCACTCACTAGTAATATCTTTGGACATGAAACAAACTGTAATACCTGCCATATTGCTTTGATTATTCATGTTGTTTTGATTGTCAGCTGGTTCCTTATTCAACAATGCTAAAATTTGCTTGTACTGTTCCTCTGTGAAGAATGGTCCATTTCCAGCAAAAGCATCCTGCAAGTCACATCTAGAAGAGCATTGAGCACCTGCATTACTTCCACTACCTGCATTGCTAGAAACATTGTTAACATCATTAAAGTGTGGAGTTCCTCGACCAAATTGTCCATTTGCACCACCACTTCCACAATCAAACTGTCCAGTATTTGGATGATTGAACCTTTTCTTTCCCTTAAAATCTTTAGGATATCCAATGAGCTTATAGCAATTTTCTTTGCTATGACCTTTGTAACCACAATGTTCACATTGCATAAAAGGTTTCTTTCCCTTATAGCTTTGGTTGCGACTAACATGCATAGCTACTGGTTCATTCTTATCAATTACTACACCCATACTAGGACACTGTCTAGATTCATCTTCGATCACCATTACATAAGCTTGATTGATAGAGGGCACATTCGACTTCATGAGGTTCTGTCTTCTAGCTTGGTCATAAGAGTCGTTAAATCCACTGAGGAATTGTAGCAATCTCTGCTGCTCTAAATGATCAACATGATTCCTTGAATTGGCCTTAGGTACCATAGCATCATGCCCAATCCATAAATCCTTTAATTTTGTGAAATAGCATGAAACATAATCTGTACCTTGTGAGAGAGTGTCAATGGCTCGATGCAGCTGAAAAATTCTCATGCGATTCACCTTATCGAATCTCTCCCTCAAGTCTTCCCACACAAGGTGAGCATTTGAAGTGTATACAATTCCACACAAGAGTTCCTTGGATACTGTGTTCATGAGCCATGAAAGGACAATAATATTACAAGTTTCCCATTGCTCTTGTAGCTCAGCAGTACATGATTCCTTCATACAAGTTCCATTCACAAACCCTAGCTTTCTCTTCCCAAGTAGTGCGATCTTCATCGTCCTACTCCATAGCCCTTGATTCTCAGATCCTGTAAGCTTCACAGGGATCAGAACAACACATGGAGTATCTGCTGGACCTAGATACAATGGATGTGTGTACGAAATTATTGATTCCGCCATAACTGATTCTCACACTTTAACAATCTCAGAGAAATTTGAAATTGATGTCGAAGGATCGATCGATGACTGAGAATCTAATTGATTTGTACCCGCTCTGATACCATGCTAAAATCTGCTCTCACACTGAGCAGATTTGTAGTAGCTCTGTACTGCTCTAATGGCAGAAGCTTCTAGAGTAGAGAGATGAAGAAGAAGCAGGCATTGCAAAATGATTCTCCGTATTCATTCTCTGAAGATACATGGTATTTATACAAGTAATGAGCCTAAGTAACATTAACTTATGAGCAGGACGTGAACTAACATTAAGTGTATATATTAACCGACTAACTGACTAGCTGGCACACTAACTACCATAACTACCACTAACTAACTTGAGCTCACAAGAAAAGTATAATTTTCATTATGTGCGTGTAGGTATGAAATGGAATCAGGAAATTAAAATATACTACTTATAATACAGGAGGAAAAGCGCAGGGAAACTTGCCCCTTAGTCTTAACATTGTACGCATAAGAGGTTGACCTTTCACCAAGTGAAATAATTTTAAGCATTAAAAAGTATATCACTTATTACAAAACTTCTATTACATTTTAGTCGAAATGAAAAATATACTAAAGTCAGCTCAAAGTTCTTTATCTTTATTCAATCAAAACACAAAAAATCATTAAAAAGTGTAATCAGTATGCATCTTCCAAATTCCAACTATTTCCAAGCCACAGCACAATCTGCAACTCTCTCTTTTAATTCAGAAACGCCAATGTTTGAGTGGCATCACAGCAAATTTCATATTCCCAGTCTTGCAATGGATGCCTTGGTGCTCTCCACAAGCAAAATAGTAAGTCTGCATTTTCTTCAACACAAACTCAAATCCTTCCTCTGCACCTTGAGTTGGATCTGCTATCCTTTTAGCCCTCCTGAAATCACACTTGTTGAAGCTCCTATAGTTTGGTAATAAGTAAACACTGTGTGGAAATCCGGTACCATTTGCATTTGGTGGATCATACTTGAACACTGTCGTATACCACATAAGCGAATTCAGAATTTTAAGTTAGTGAATATAGAATACTATTGAACCCACTATTCCTTTTGTGATAGTGATTTAGATATTAGTATGACTACATACATATAGAACTCGAACGTAAGACTTTTTTATGCTGCATGCATCTGCCCGTGCATACGTAATAGAAGCTATCTATTTTACAAGCATATTGCATATATATAACCGATAAGTTTATGCAATGATAAAGGCAGAATTTTCACCAAAAAATTTTAAAAATACAAGCATTATATTTTGTAGTCAAACTCGCGATTTAAAGCATTTTTATTATCTTTTGCCTCTAGTAGGGAGTGTCCCTTCGACAATGCATGGGTATACATCAAAAAAACTAATCTATATATACAGTATAATATTTTGGCAAAGACGATTCAAAGTGCTTCACCTTGAGTTTATTTTTAAGAAATGATAAGCACATGCACAAAAAGAAGAAACTTAAAAGAAATATATACCTAAGGTGTCATTAACAAAGAAAGGAGCAGTCTTTCGAGCCCAATCCATGTAGTTGAAACCATAATGCCAATTTTCTGAACCTCCAACAATGAATCTATTGGAAGTTTGAGTAGCATTTGGTGGATGAGTATACGGGCAGTTAGTTTTATTCCAGGTTCTAGGACCCCAGTTGAAGTCATAGTTGGCTAAACCAATAGCAAACATGCATGAGAAAACTGCAAGTAAGAGAAATGTTTGGGCATTAACAAGTGCCATTTTTACAAGAATGATCAATTTCCTAAAACTCACAAGTTTGCTAATGAAGAAGAGAAGTTGATCAATTGTTGGGGATGATGAGTGAGCCAATTGGTATGGACTATATATAGCAAAAGTATAGTCAAAATGAAGACTAATTAGGAAATTATGAGAGACGAAAGTTGGTTGGTGAGACAGGAAAATTAGTGCAAAAAGCTCTTTGTTGTTTTTCCAATGTTTCTTTCTTTCTTTTAAGAGAGCCTGGGTAATTAACTATTCCCAAGTCCACCACTGAAAAACAAATATTCTTCCACTTTAGGTTGCAATTATTTTATACTAATCTTTAAGAGTTTCAATATGCTTACTTACCTAAGTTAGCCGTGTTTCAACGCCCATTAGAATCATTTAAAGTTTATTCACAACTTTCCCAGCTGCTTCTAAACTATAAATATTGTGAGCAAACATGTTTTTTGCCGAATTGACTGACAACGAGTAAGTTTACTTACTTCGATATTTACACAAATCCAATAAATTTAAGTAATTAAATGTGTCTTCATAATATTATCACTATACTATATCTGAATTATACAAATGTACACCTTAATTTATCACTTAAGTATGATAAATTAATATAGTTTGATTGTAAAGTAAGTTTTTACCGACTAACTTAATCCAGTCTTGAAAAGGTTTTTCCTTAGTCAAGAGTTTTTTTTTTGGTAGTTGCATATGTTATGTCGGTTCTTTGAGAGGCCTAATTTTATGCTCTTTGAGAATCAACTCTCTGATTGGAATTTAAACATATTGGAGATTTGTACGTTTGCTTTGCTCTCAAATTTAATTGACCTAATTTTATTACAGAAATTCTATAGAGTGAAAAGGAGAAATTTAGATCTGCATGAAGAAATTAGGCTGTTCCAAACTTCGAGTCCAACTTCTAAATGCGAAATGTTCAATTGTGTACGTATAAGTCAGTTCACATGAGAAGCTAATGGCTAAAACCTCTTTATCTAATTTTTACACCATCATTTATTCAGTTATAGCAAATTATTTTATCATGTACAATATCATGCGCGTGATGAATAATATTGTCAGGACATAGAAGTTAAATTCAGTATTTTATATATTCTCAATCTGACTTGGAAGTCTTTCGCCCTTTCTGCTAGCAATCCACTAAAACACAGTTGAAAGTTGCAAGACTTTCAAAAAGTCAGATTAACTGTAGCTGTTTTGTTTTTCCTTCTGGTTATTGGGAAGTTGGTCAAAAAGGGTTATAATCCACCATTTGGTGCGATAATAACGGAAATAATTGCTTTTGAAGTTGGAACTGATCAAAATTACCAGAAGCAAGCAGAGAAAGTGGATATAAGGAGTACCATTTAATTTTCAAGAACGGTGGATTGATGTAATAATGACACCAATTACAAAGAACGTGAAAGAAATGAGAGTAAATAGAACTAACAATCAACCTCTTAAATTCAAGATTTTGATACGTTCCTTGATCATAATTTAGCTTTGTCACACCTCCTTTTTTCGAAGATAAGAAGTTTTTCCAATTTAAATGATATTATTGAATTGAGATTATTTTATTTTATATTTTAGAGTCGCCACTCGGAATTATTACGGTGTTCTGAGTAAATCAAGGAAAATTAACTCTGTTTAAAGTCTGCGCAACACAGAAAACTGGGTATAAAATTCTGTTAATACGAGAGAAGATGTTAGGCATTCCCGGATTTCGCCGTTTTAGCACGGTCACTTTATAATCATAACTTGGCTTAATTATGTATTTTAGACCCTATGTCCGTTTTTACTTTTTTACCGCTTTTATTACTTGATTATGGCGTTATGGAATTATCCTGAAACGAATCACATGTATGTTCATCCGTTTTATTTAATGCGCTAAAAATCATGTCACACGTACGTGTACACAATTAATAACACTTTATTATTATTAAGGTTGTTCGGCCAAAGTTGTGCTAACGCGTACCTTGATTTATTTTGAGAATCGTAATTATATCACGCGAACATATATATAATCACGATGATAGATTAAAACACGCCTAAAGTATTTTACGCGAATTCAAAAATTGTTTAATTCCTAAAATTTGAGATTATTGTGGAGGTCTAAAATTATGGAGTGATTGTGAGGAAAGATGTACGTTTGCACCATTCGGGTTCAGCAGTGGTTTAGACTTTTGACAAAGTGATTTTCACCTTCTTAAAATTCTAAAGGGGAACTTACATCGTTGGTTTATATCAAGGTTTACATAAATTCGCCCATTTACTTTGACTAATGGGATGTCAAAGTAAATGGGAAGTATAAATTGGTCCACTGTTATTGTTGAGAGACTTAATTATTATATTGCTCCTATTTTGTAATGTGCTGAGTCAGCATGTAACTATATTTAGTTAGTTGTAGTAGTTATACAATTAGTTGTATTTGTATAACTGTCACAAGTGTGCATATATACACATTGCAATAATGAGAACAATGGTAAAGTTTTCATTTCACAGTTCATTTCATACTCTCTCTACTCTGAAATATTTTTCTCTCTCAGAACTTTCGAGAACCTCCATTGGAGCTTATGTGTCAGCTTCATGTCACGACCTAAAATCAACCGTCGTGATGGCGCCTATCGTGGAACTAGGCCAGCCTCAATTCAACAACCCAACACCAACAACAATAAGTTTGAAAACGTTAACGAAAGCATTTAACATTTAAGAAAAAAACTGTTTAAAACATATGAAAATCCCAAAGTGATATAATCCAACCCAAAACCAGGGTGTCACTGAGTACATGAACGTCTAGATCAAAAATACAGTCTACTACAGTGTCTAGAGATATAAACTAAAAGTACGACAAAGATAAAGAAGGAGAGTCAAGGCCCACAAACGTAGTGCAACTACCTTGATAGTCTCCAAAAATCTAGGATCCTCAATCAGCAACCGCTGCTACGACCGGTATCGCCTGTATCTGCCCACGAGGTGCATGAAGTAATGTGAGTACACCAACTCAGTAAGTAACAAGTCCAAACTTTGGACTGAAAGGTAGTGATGAACTCAACCTCTACATGTATAACAGAAATAAATGTGCAGGAACGTAGGCCTGCGTTCAAGTCAAATATACAGCTCAAACAGTAAAGGAAATACATATCTGAACAGTGTACGGTATACAACTCAGCTATCTCTACATACCAATGCATAGACTGTATGAAACATACCATGTGCTCCACTCTCAAGTACTTAACCACTCGATACTGTATATGGCCATCCGGCCCAGGAAAATCCATCCCGGAACATATACAACACTAACTATAAGTCACCAGTACCGAGGAAAAAGGGCAATCCAACCCTGTGGAGAAATCCATCTTCAGGTATCAAGTACTTCGGACAAATCTATGTCTAGGAAAATCCATCTCTCAATAATATCATCCGCGCTCACTGGGGGTGTGTTACAGACTCCGGAGGGACTCCTACAGCCCAAACGCTATCATAATCATCAATATAACCACTGCGGCGTGCAGCCCGATCCCATAACTATCACTTATAACCAGGAACTCGGCCTCACTCAGTCATCAACCTTTCTAGTCTCACCACGGGCTCACAATCTCATGAAAACAACCCGGAACAATGATATGATGAATCAAAAAATAACTGAGACCGAGATATGATATAAAAATGCATGATCATGACTGAGTATGGAATAGTAAATGAAACTAGTGAGATGACAGCAAGAAACGACCGCTTAGGGTCCAACCAATACCGGCACAAAGCCTAAACATGATATCAAGCACGATCTACAACTCAACTACTTAATCACCTGATGGAAACATGGATATCAACAGGATATAGTCACTAAACGGTGCCATGGAATCACCCAGGTCACAATTCTCANCCACCTGATGAAAATATGGATATCAATAGGATAGAGTCACTAAACAGTGCCATAGAATCACCCAGGTCACAATTCTCATGGTGCACGCCCGCACGCCTATCACTTGGCATATGCGTCACCTCAATACCAATCACATAACACATAATTTGGGGTTTCGAACTCTCAAAACCAAGTTTGGAAGCATTACTTACCTCAAACCAAGAAAAATCCTACTCCGCGATACCCTTGCCTCGCAAATCAGCCTCCAAACGTCCCGAATCTAGCCACAAGCAATACAATACGATCAATATAGGCTAAAGGAACCAATTCCACAAGAAAAATATCAAATTATAGCCAAAATCCGAAATCGGCTCAAACCCGGCCCCCTTGCCTATGTCTCGAAATCCAACAAAATCATAAAACCTGAAAGCCCATTCACTCACGAGTCTAGTCATACCAAATTTACCAAAATCCGACCTCAATTGCCCCTCCAAAACCCCAAAGTTCACTCTCCAATTCCCAAGCCCTAAATCCCCAAATTTCCAATTTCAATCCCTAATTAAATAATGAACAAAGCCATAGATTCATGGAAATTAGACCAATACGGGTTAGAATCACTTACCCCAACGTCCTCCTTGAAAACCTTCAAAAAATCGCTTCTCTCCCGAGCTCCCCAAGTTCAAAATTGAAAATGGAAGACAAAACCTCGAGCTGGGTTTTCTGCCTAGCTAAAACCGCACCTGCAGTCCTAGTTCCGCACATGCGGAACCGCATCTGCTAAAAGGGCTCCGCTTCTGCGGAAATTCATTAAAAGACTGACTCCGCTCCTGCGATCACCTGACCGCATCTGTGGTCATCGGAGATGCAGGACCCAAGCCTCACCTGCGTTCCATCTGCGCATCTGCACCTCCCAAATTGCTTCCGCGACCACCACAGATGTGGGATTTCCATCGCACCTGCGGTCTAAGCCCAGGTCTCCCTTAGCCGCACATGCGACTCTTCCTTCGCTCCTGCGGCCTCTCACCAGCGGTTCCCACTCCGCAAGTGCAGAAAGCACCAGTAGTAGCAGCTTTAGCTGTATGTCTCCAACTCCAAACCTTCCGTTAACCACCCGGAATCACCCCGAGACCCTCGAGACCATAACCAAACATACGAACATATCCTATAACCTCATACAAACTTAGTCGAACCTTCAGATCACTCAAAATAACAT